TACACTATTGTTATTATATATAAAGAAAATGTAACTATAAAATATTTTATAAAATAAAAATTCTTTTAATTTTACCATTGTATCATTAGCTCATTAATCTTATCTCTAATTGGTAATACCTGCTGATGCACTTCCACCGGAATTGGCTTCTCTATAGGAACTGGCACGTGCTGCGGCACTTTCACTATCTGCGGTACTCGAATTGCTACAGGATGTTTTACAGGCACCGGAAATGGGATGTGATGAGGTACCTAAAAAACGTAAAAAAATATAATTAATCAGTCATGCGCGAACATTTACACTATAAGAAGAAAAATTAAAAATTCCTAATGTTTTCATGTACTTTTATTAAGATAATACTAAAATTGAAATAAAATTATTTTTCTCTTTCTAGCTTTTTTTTCAATATCTATTATTATTATTATATATTATATATACACACACACATATATATTATATAAAATACATTACATATATATTATATAAATATACATATGTATATATGTAATCTGTATAAATAATTTCAGCATTAAAATGTAAAAAATGCACTTAATTATGCATTTAATTATATTAAAAATTCTTAAAAAAAGATGTTCTTGAGAAAATTTCAGCAATGAAATTTTTGGGCGTTTTCATTTTTTATAAATATATAAATTTATTGGAAAAGAATGTTTTATTATATTCTGTTTTATTTGTTTCTTTTTTATTGTCAAGCATTAGTTTTTATAAATCTAATTATGATCTTTGCAGTTATTTTGGATCTCAATATCCGATCTCAAATTTTTTTTAAATAACAAGATTAAATTTATAAAAACTTGAAAAATGCATCAAGTTAATCAATACTTTCGAATTGTTAATTAGCTTTCGTTTTCTCTCGGAAAACTGCTCACCTTAACGGGATATGGTACAGGGACCTTGATGGCTACTGTCTTAGTAACCTTGATCACCTTGGTCGGTACCTCTTGTAAATGTACTGATTGCGAGATGAGCTTGGGCTCATCTGCTCCAAGACCATGGCCTTCATGTACCAAGAACGAGGGCCATGCCGTGACCGTCATCGCCATCAGCGTGAGTAAAAACTGCAAAGGTGTATCATCATCATGAAAGCGTAACGAACTTGTCTGACAGACTTGTAAATTAGCGATTGAACATGACACCAACGAAAGCAATTGCATAGAAAATTTCAACGATCAAGATTTAAATACTTTACATCTCAAAATTTATTAATTAATAGAGTTACAAATTTATGATAAATAGAATTTTTAAATAAATAGAAAAGAATATTATTATTAGAATATCATAATGATGATATATTAATATCAAAATAGTACTTAATTTTTATATTGAATTAAAATAAAAGTTTATAACTACTTACGCTGCTTCATTTGTATCATATATCTACAAGTTTAAAAAAATGTTTTTTAATTTGGCAATTATACATTGAGCAAAGTTTTAGTTTAAAAAAATCTATGTTTTTTATTACGATATAATAATTTTTAACGGAATTATCAACAATTATCGAAAATGCTCTTTTCAATCTATTCTCAATAGCTTAGTAATAAAAAAATCTTAAAAATGTTTTTAACAAACGATTTTGTAGGCAAATCTTAAGCTTTTACATTATAATCGAAAATTTTTGCATGTTTCTGCATTTTTGGCCACATAACAGACCTATAAAATGAGAAGAAAATTTTCCATTTTGTTCAGTTGGTTTTTTATATATAAAAATAATCAATCTTATAGAAAAGATACAATGACCTTTCAAAAGTAGAGATTTTCAACTTTAAAACTTTTTTCTCTAATTACAATTTCGTTCATTTTTAATAAAAATTACAGCTGCTCAATTCTCAAATTCAATACTCAAATCACAATTTATATTTCACAGTTATCTGCATTTCTAGATTTTAATTTAGATTTTAATATAGATATATATTTAAGTGATCGCATTTCGAGAGAAAAATTTTAAAGTAATTGTCATTCATAAGAGATTTATCAAAATCACTATCAAACACACGTATCACAAAGCTGTCATTTCCAGTAATCCGAAAGTTGTGTTATCCAGAAGAAATGAAGAAATACGATGATTCTGAAATCTACATGATTTTAAAATTTTTGACCACGGTAGAAACTTACGAATTTCAACATGATTGTCATCTTGTGGTTCTGGATCAAGATCCGATGGTGTTTCCGTACTGACTATCATAGTCTACACGGTGGCTTATATACGAGGACCTTCACCATGAATCGGTTTACCACGAAGAAAACACTCACTCACTCTCTTTCCGACTAGCCGATCTCTTTCTCGATTGATCTCGTCTCCTCTTCTCCGTTTTTTGCGGTTGTTCGTTTTTGCGATTAGACTTCTCGTGCAATTAGTTCAACGACCCAACCGATAATGAACTAATGGGCGCGACGGAAAGAAAATACAGTAGGGTAAGAGGTCTTAACATGAATCACGAATAAAGAGATCGAGTCACGATGATCACAAAGAGATACGCCCTTTCCAATACAAAATTTAATAGATACATGTTTAAACAAATGCAAATTAAGAATATTTTTATACATATTTTTCTTAATTTTAATGATA